TCCGGCCGGGTTCTCGTTGTTGCCGCACCCATGGAGCACGCCGTCGCCGGGCTATGCCGATGGGGATGCCCATGGTGGCTTCAACCCCAACATCACCTTACCCCATGGGCGCCCTGCCTAGCGCACGCCCTCGCCCGCGTTTGCCGGTCTGCAGTACCCGCCGTACACGTACTCGCCGCCGGACTACGCAACCTCACCGTCGCCCCCTCTTCGCCGCGACCTCTACTCGCAAGCCTCATCCTCGTCGCCTCTCGGCGACGCCGACATGAAGGAGGCCGACATGGAGGACATCATTGCAGCCGGCTCGGCTGCCGCCGCCGCTTCCCCCGGGTTCACTATGCAGGACGGCTCGATTGACCTCGCCAACATGGACGGTGAGCTCAACTACGGCGGTGAAGAACCAGAGGAGGAAGAAGAAGAGGAGGAGGAGCCAGCGCCGACGAGGAAAGGCAAGAAGAAGAAGAAGAGGAAGGCGGCCAAGTCCGGCGAGCCACACATCAAATGGGCGTCCAAGGAAGAGGAGTGCCTCGCCGAAGCGTGGAAGGTCGTCTACCACAACCCGGTCACCGGCACAAATCAGAGCTTAGAGACGTATTGGGCCGCATCAAGGCCGAGTTCGACGAGCGGAAGCTTGTCGACCCCTACTTCAAAGGCATGCACATGAAGCGGGGGTCGAAGGGGATGACGAACCATTGGTCGCTCATTTAAACGGCGTGCAACAAATGGCATGGTATCGTCAAGGAGGTCGCGGCTCGCCCGGAGAGCGGCACCAGCGTCGAGGATCAGGTATTGCACGCCGTTCTTACTGTTGCCTTTCGCTGGGCACGCGTTCTTTCGCCTTGTGCGCGGGCGCGCCCTGGCACGGGCTCTGGCGCCGACTGATGTTCTTTCTTTGGCACAGCTGCTACGCATGTTCGCCATGTTCCGTGACGACAACAGCGACGTAGACTTCAAGTACCTCCATGTCTTCAAGAGGATCGACAAGTGCGAGAAATGGGCGGCCGTCCGACGCACCCTAGCCAATGCCAAAGAGACGTACAAACCGGACGCGCCGACCGCGGGCGCGTCCGACGGGCGACCGAACGGCAACAAAGGTGCCAAGAAGGCGAAATACGCCGAGTCGGCTGCCGCACGCGTGCAAGAGTCCATCGAGCACTGCCTCGCTGACGCCAAGACCAGGGCTGCCGAGCGAGAAGAGAAAACTGAGGCGAGGTGGGCTGTTTTGATGATGAACAACGCCGTCAAACTCGACTTGCTCCGGACCAGCGCCGCCGCGAAGCTCAAAGCTCAAGACGCCAAGAAGAGGAACAACGACCTCGCCTTTTTGATGGGCGGCACTGACATGCTTCAGAGCGACGAAGAGAAGCTCAAGGCATGGTTCTTGGCCGAGTGCGGCCTCATCCTGAACCAGATACCGGCGCCGCCGGCCGCCGCCGCCCAGCCCGGTGGCTGATGACGATGACTCCGCGACGCCCAGCCCCATCGACGATGCCTCCGCCGCGCCCAGCAGCACAGAAGCCGTGCCGAACAGCCCGGAAGCCGCGCCGACTCCTCCCAGCCCGCGTACGCCACCGCCGACGCCGCCGGAGGTTGAGCTCGACGCTTGATGCCTTCCGCGTCCTTTCTTTTTTGTACGCCGAACTACATTTGATCGCCGAACTGCGGCACTGAATCGTTGAACTATTGCGATGATCGTCGTTTGTTGTTTCTTTGAGCGGAAATGATGGATTTCGAATATGGAGCGCCTTCGGGGGCGGTACCTGGGCACGTGGCTGGAGAGAAACGAACCCCAGGGGCCGATCTAGCGCCGGCTCGCGGCGCCCTGGGGGTACGAACGGCTGGAGATGCTCTTAGTATAGATTTACACGACGTTAGTACTTGCAGCGGTGGCCTTGGCAGGAGGGGGCGGCAACATAGTTGGACAACATTTTTGCGGGTGCTTCTCAAGTACCGAATCACGATCTCCAGGGTGAAAGCCCAAGGTCTAGCATTCATTGGTTGTACCTGGCAATGGTCTTGCGAAGGCATTGTTTTTGGATCTCGGACTCCCTCTAGGGTGAAAACTCGAGATCCTTGATCGGGTGACGAAAACGTTTTGTGCATTGTTTCCTTCTTGGAGGCGTCGATTTTGAAAAACCTGTGCTCTGGAGGCTGGATGTAATTGTTGTTGCTGTTACGAGTGTTTCATCACTGCGACGGGATCTTTCTTTTTATATTTCTCTTTTTTTTCATTTTTGTTCTTGATGTGTGCATCCTTGATGTCTTTCGATATCTTGTTGGTGTAGAGGCTAGGTGTAATTTGTATCTTCGCGATATTAATATATAGTCCCTTTATCAAAAAAAAAGAAAAAATTAGGAGCTCTCTGCCAACCAAATCCGGAGGTATGCTCTCTCATTACTCTGGAAAAAGTACCTTTGCACTATCACCTCGCAAACCTAAGTTTTCACGCATTGTTTCACTCCGCTGTCAGCATGTACATAATCCAGAAGGCAACCAAAAGGGCAGGATAGAAAAAAGTGCTCTAAACAGAATGATAGTACTAATAAGCATGCTGTGTTGAGTAGACAGTAGGCAGGGCATGCAGGTTAGCTAGTGGTGTGCATCTAAATGTTGGTCAAGGGAACAAGCATGGCATGAAAGAAAGAGAGTATATTTGCCTTGCCAGCCAGCCGGTCAGGCCAGGCCTTGCGATCATGAAAAGAAGCGTAGCCAGCTGCATATTCTAAAGGAACAAGGATTGCAATGGCACCAAAACCTAAGCCACATCGGTTCCCCTGATTTCATCTTCCCGCATAATCAAATCCACTGCCGCATGCTTCATGCATTTGATGCATAGTACTATACACACATTCCCCACACTCCTTGCAAGAGCAAACAACAAATTGCTCAGCTCCCACTGATAGTGAGAGTGAGAGACTATCTTACTCTTTCCCCCACACAGCCACGCTCTTTGCAAAAGCAGAAGCAGGCAGTGGGCTCATGACTCATGTGGACCTGACCCGAGCGACCTTTTTATGAACCCTGAGCACTGTGTGTATGTGTGTGCGGGGGCGCGTCACTGAGACCCCTGGTGGTACCGGTAGGTGCGGGAGAGAGAAGCCAAATGTTAAAGATGCCTGGTGCAGTGCAGCTCAGCTAGCAAAGCAAAGTGGGGGAGAGGAGAGGAGAGGAGAGTAGTACTCAAGAAATTAAGGCATAGCTGACAATTTAAGGGCTGCTCCTCTCGCCTCGCCATGCATGGGGGCCTACCCCATTCATGCTACATGTCTCTTCCTCCTCTGGCAGTGCAATTCAATTTAATGTGACCATGCATGGTACTCCTACTCTCTTTGCTGTTGGGACTTGCGAGATAGTAGTAGCAGATAGCAATGATCATGGCGATGCTGGGAACGTACAGTGCTGTCAACCAACAGCCCTCCGGCTTGCACTGGCCAGGGAGGGAAGGCGCATCAAATGCATTGCAATGCATGGGCATGGCGCCATGAAGACGGAGGTGTGTTGCTTGTGCAGGTTGCCATCGCATTTGCGACGCCAATGATGTCGCAGTCGGTCGCTTTTGTTAAGGAAAAGATCAAAGAGGAACTTCCGAGTGCTGTGCTGGGAGACAGTGGACGGCTATGGCATGTGCTGGGTATTCTAGGTGCGAGTTTTATAGATGCGCACGGTACACGCATAGCTTAATTCAGATTTGACTTGAGTAGCAGCGCCGTGCCGTGCTTAGTTACTTTGATCGAATTAAAGAGGATCCGTATCTGATAAGGAAAAGCAAGCACCAAGCAACCGGATCGACCACTTTAAATTTGGCCGCGAAACAAAGTGAGCAATGATCAAAGGTGCACCACGTACGCACAGTACGTGATCTTTGATAGTCTCATCTGGATCTGAGCTCAACGCTGTCAAAGACGTGCACTAGAAAGAGAACAAAAGCCATGGCTGCGATGGCCTACATGCATGGTTGCCGATCGAGAGCTGCCGCCGGTTGCTCCAAGGAGGAAGCTACAAGGAAGCGATTTTTATCATGGCGGACAGGGATAGGAGGCGCGGGGCGCTGGCTCATGATTGCACCAGCTGAAGGCCACTGCCGGTCGGAGCCGGCCTTTGAAAATTCCCGCCCCCACCCCCCTGGCACATGGCGGGCACCATCCCCTGCCCGCCTTTCCAAAGGAAAAGCTCGCCCCCCTCCTCGGTGCAATGCACACTCATCCAAGGACGCGTGCGGTGCGATGCGATGCGATGCTCCAGAGCGCGCCCGGGCGCGCGCACACACACGCGCGCGCTCTGTTTCTTTCTTTATTCCCCTGACGTAGCAAAGCTCAGTGCCACTGAGCTGAACCCCCACTGTCTGCATCGACGATGGTGCTTTGGTTGCAGTAATCCGTCCATCCAGCCCCGACCTTTCTTTTCATGGGGGAGGAGCGGGGAAGGGAATGTGGAGAGGGGGACAGGACCATGGACCCATGATATAAAATGAGATGATGCCATGGCTAGGCATGGGCTGGGCGGGGCAGGGGCGTGTCTTTCTCTTTCCATTTCTCCTCTCCTCGGGAAAAAGCGCGCCCCCAGCTGCAAGCCACAGCCGCGAGCAACTCAACTTGAAGCTCATCTCGTCCCGCCGTGTCGGAACTCATCAATCCGTCCACCACATCACTTCAAGGCTTCAAGCTCACCTCCCCCACCCTCCCCATCCCCACCCCCAACCGCCGCACGGCGACATTGGTTGACCTTCCAGCTTGACATCGAGCGAGGCTCGGCGCCTCAGCTGAGCCACACTCCACCTCCACCACGCTCCTATATTTATAGTCGAGTAGTCTCTCTCGACCGAGGAGTCAAGGGAAGAAGAAGCCAAGCGATAGGGGCAGGGGAGGAGGCGGGGAAGAGGACAAGCAGGCGATCCGGTGGAAGCGGATACAGACAAGCGAGCAACAACGACTCTACTCCCCATCTACGACAAGGTTTTGAGGCGAATCGAAGAGAAGGAGAAGCCCACGCACGGGCGTCGATGGCGTCTAGCTGCTGCGGCAAGAGGCCCAGACCAGCCGTCCCCTTGCTGCTGCTGGCGCTGCTTGTCGTCTCGTGCGCGTTGTCGGTGTCAGCCAGCGGCGGCGGCGGCAGGGGCAACGGCACACGGACGGCGGAGTTCCGTTCCGGGGACGAGCTGCGAGCCTACCGGAGCATCGTGGCACGGATGGACAAGATGAAGAAAGCCTCCGTCAAGACCATTCAGGTGAGTGGCTTTGCTTCTTTTGCATGCGCCTGCTCTTCATGTTTGACCCCCGACCTCAATATCTCGACCACCTTGTTCGCCATATTTTTCTTGTGGCAATGTTTGACGAATCTGTTTTTGCACGCAGAGCGCCGACGGCGACATCATCCACTGCGTGCCGGCGCACCTCCAGCCGGCGTTTGACCACCCAACGTTGAGAGGCCAAAAGCCAGAGGTCGTCCATCCCATTCATCCTCCGTAGCTGCATTCTTACTTTTCTGTCTTTTACCGATCAGCCGGCCGGCGTTCTGAAAAGGAGATGGTACCATTTGCAGGCTGAGCCGGAGGAGAGGCCAAAGATCAGCGCCGACGCCGCCGAGGAAGAAGGGGACGCCGTGTTCCCGCAGGCGTGGAGCGACGGCGGCGAGTCGTGCCCGGGCGGGACGGTCCCGATACGGCGGACCACGGAGAGCGACCTGCGGCGGTACACCGGCTCCCTCCGGCGGTACGGGATGAAGCCCCGCGCCGCCGGCGTCCGCCGCGACTCCACCAGCGACGGCCACGAGGTACTTACTACCACGCCCAGCTGATAACTAACACGACGTACGGCGATCTCATCAATCGTCATCATCAATACCGAGTACTGACCCACCAGATTAGCGGTACCATTGAAAATGAAAATTGATCGACAGCGGCTTCACTGACCAACAGTCCGAGCCAGTAACTGCGGCCTTAACCACGCGACCAAATCATGATCCCATACGATCACTCAATAGTGTAGCGCGCAGTAGCTGGATAACATTGATTGTGCTGGGGATAGCATTAGCTACTAGCATCAACCTGCGTCTGTGCGCGCACAGGATATTGATTGAGGCACTGGCCGGGGATGGCGATGCAATGGCGATCGGCGCGGCGACAACCGCGGCAGCGGCGGTAATGGCGCCGCCCGCCTAGCTAGCTAGCGCGCGCGCTGGCTGGCAGTCAGTGGCATTCATTAGCGCCCGCCCGTACGTGCGTGTGTGATGGCAATGGCATGGACCTTAGCTTGATGATGGATGTTTGGCGTATGTGTGGTGCAGCACGCGGTGGGGTACGTGACCGGCGACCAGTTCTACGGCGCCAAGGCGAGCCTGAATGTGTGGCCGGCCAGGGTGGCGTCGGCGGCGGAGTTCAGCCTCTCCCAGATCTGGGTCATCTCCGGCACCTTCGGCAACGACCTCAACACCATCGAAGCCGGCTGGCAGGTATCTAATCCGCCTTCCCCTTATCTCGTTGCATGCAAACTACTCTTACTATTCTACTATGAAAGAACATTTTTCTTCTTCTCGAGACCGTACGAAATCACATTTGAAAGCAAAAGCATAGAGGAGTGTTAATGTGAAAGATATGGAGAATCACTGCAAGATCTTTCGCCGGCTAGAGCTGTATAGTGCAGGAAGTTAAGGAGGTGAGTGAGTTGAGACTGGCAGCTTTCACGTCGCCGTGGCTGCAAAGCGATCTAGTTATAATGAGAGGGAAGTCGCAGAACGCGTTCTTCAGGCAGGCTGTCCGTCTCTCCGGTTGGTGAAAGCGAGTAAATGTGGCAGGTCGATCGATGTGGTGTGTATGCGCTAGCAATGGCATAGCAGCGCAGACCTCTGCGCTGCAGGCCCTTGCTTGAATGCGTGCTTCATCCCTCCCTCCCTCCCTAGTCACATTACTGCATGCATCGAGGATAAGTAATGATCAAGCATTTTAAATACACATTTATTCAGATTAGCAGAGTAGTCAAGCCACCATTATAGTTGAGATTCAATCAAGAATATCTGAACATGCATCCTTGATCGCCATCTTAAGCGTGAACATGCATCCTTGTCTCCTTGCAGTAAACTGGAAGTAGAATCCTGTTAGCATGCTTGACCTGCATGTGGTTGCATGTTGACTGTGTAGTATAGAAATGAGGTGGAACTGGGGATCGATCATTAATGAGATTCGATCGACATGTAAGCCAGTGCCACAGTTGACCTGATTACTTCTTGTTTTCTGGTTGTTGGGTTTGAAACGAGTGTCGTAGTACGTGGTGGTCAAACTGGTGCATGCAGTCCATACGTGTTAACTCTCTTCACTGTTCCTGGCTTTCTTTTAGGTGAGCCCTCAGTTGTATGGCGACAACAGCCCACGCTTCTTCACCTACTGGACGGTAAAACTCCTCCTCTCAACCAAACACTGTACTTCATACCAGTGCAAAAAAAGAAGAAAACTAAACGAAGTGTCGATGCATGCGTGCAGAGCGACGCGTACCAGGCGACGGGGTGCTACAACCTGCACTGCTCGGGGTTCGTGCAGACCAACCGGCGGATCGCCATCGGGGCCGCCATCTCGCCGGCGTCGGCCTACAACGGCCGCCAGTTCGACATCAGCCTGCTCATCTGGAAGGACCCGCGCCGGGGCCACTGGTGGCTGCAGCTGGGGTCAGGCCCGCTGGTGGGCTACTGGCCCTCCTCCCTCTTCTCCCACCTCGGCGGCCACGCCAACATGGTGCAGTTCGGCGGCGAGGTCGTCAACACGCGCCCCTCGGGCTCGCACACGCCCACGCAGATGGGGAGCGGCCACTTCCCGCGCGAGGGATTCAACCGCGCCGCCTACTTCCGCAACGTCCAGGTGGTCGACTGGGACAACAACCTCCTCCCGGCAAGGGACCTCCGGCTCGTCGCCGACCACCCGGCATGCTACGGCATCCAGGGCGGGTACAACCGCGCCTGGGGCAACTACTTCTACTACGGCGGGCCGGGCCGGAACGTGCACTGCCCCTAGTACGTACGTTACGTACTGATCGTCATCGGCGCCGGTGCCGGAGAAGAAGGGAGTACACATCCGTCGATCTGCTTAACTGAAAAAAGTACTGCTGATTGATCGTTAATTCTTATATTACTACGTACGTACGTACGTGATGATCATTACGTACCAAGGGAACGGACGGCAACGACGTCGATCCTATATAGCTAGCTAGTGGTTTGTCGATCGGGTTGACACGTACGTACGTTGCGCGGTGCTTATTTTGATGTGGCTGAGTCTTGCTGTTTTTGTTTTTCTCCTTTTGAGCTACGTAGCGTGTATACATGAGAAAACTGACATATATATAGAGAGAGTATTGTGGATTTGTGATCCTCTTATGTAGTACGTGTGTTGTAATATAGTGTTTCAAGTTATACATCAAGCTACAATTGATGTTCAAAATGACAAGTGCTTGCTGTTCATGAACTGATGAGGATTTCGAGGATGCGCGTGAAGAAGAAAAGGCGCAAAACCAGGCTAAACTTTGCACCTCCACGACACTGCTGCTATGCTGCCGGTCCAAGTTGAAGGTTAACGCATTATCCTCTAGGACAAATTGCAAGAACAACTAGTTAACGAGCGCTTCTTCGGGGGGGGCTCACAATGATTAGCATTACTAGGCGCGCTCTCGGCCGTTCGCTACGTGTCGTGTTGGGCGATCCCTTCGAATTTTGTTTTTTTAATATTTTTCCACACATGTTTTCTGCTTTTTAAACGGTTTTTTCTTAGTTTTTTCGATGTTTTGGTTTTCCACCGGTCTTCCTTAACTTTTGGAACAATTTTTTTAAAAAAAAGTCCCGCGAAAAAAAACGTTTTTTTATATTCCGCGAGTCACGGTTTTGCTTCCGTGAGAGGCACGGTTTTGCTTTCGCGGGAGTCACAACCATGACTCTCGGAAACAGAAAAATACGCGTTTTCTGTTTTTTTTCCTTTTGCGAGAGGCACGGTTTTGCTGTCGAGAGAGGCACGGTTCTGCTTTCGCGAGAGGCATGGCCGTGCCTCTCGGAAACGAAAAAAAAACGTGTTTTCTGTTTTTTTTTCATTCCGCGAGGCATGGTTTTGCTTTCGCGAGAGACACGGTTGTCCTTTCACAAGAGGCACGAATGTGCCTCTCGAAAACAGAAAATACGCGTTTTCTGTTTTTTTATCTTTCGCAATAGGCACGGTTTTGCTTCTGCGAGAGGCATGGTTGTGCTTTCGCCAGAGGCACAACCGTGCCTCATCGAAAACGAAAAAAGCCTCCTCGGAAACGAAAAAAACACACGTTTTCTCTCCTTTTTTTTCCTTCCGCGAGAGGCACGGTTTTGCTTCCGCGAGAGGCAAGGTTGTGATTCCGTGAGAGGCACGGCCGTGCCTCTTTCGGAAAAGGGAAAAACCCCGTGCTCCCTGAGGGAGTCCTGGATTAGGGGGTATCCGGACAGCCGGACTGTTGGACTATGAAGATATAAGATTGAAGACTTCGTCCGGTGTCCGGATGGGACTCTCCTTTGCGTGGAAGGCAAGCTTGGCAATTCGGATGTGTAGATCTCCTTCTCTGTAACCGACTCTGTGTAACCCTAGCCCCCTCCGGTGTCTATATAAACCGGAGGGTTTAGTCCGTAGAACAACAACAATCATAATCATAGGCTAGCTTCCAGGGTTTAGCCTCTACGATCTCGTGGTAGATTAACTCTTGTAATACTCATATCATCAAGATCAATCAAGCAGGAAGTAAGGTATTACCTCCATCGAGAGAGCCCGAACCTGGGTAAACATCGTGTCCCCAGCCTCCTGTTACCATTAGCCTTAGACGCACAGTTCGGGACCCCCTACCCGAGATCCGCCGGTTTTGACACCGACATTGGTGCTTTCATTGAGAGTTCCACTGTGTCGTCGCGATAAGGCTCGATGGCTCCTTCAATCATCTTTAACGATGCAGTCCAAGGGGAGGTTTTCCCTCCCGGACAGATATTCGTATTCGGCGGCTTCGCACTGCGGGCCAATTTGCTTGGCCATCTGGAGCAGATCGAAGCTACGCCCCTGGCCACCAGGTCAGGTTTGGAAACCTAAACTACACTACCGACATCCGCGGAGACTTGATCTTCAGCGGATTCGACCCCATGCCAGGTGCGCCCGACAGTTCCGACGAGCATGACCTAGATCTGCCATCGGACAGTACTCGGGTGATCGCGCCTGCGGCTGCTCCGGGAAACAATCCGGAGCAGACTATGCCATCCGAGGACGGGTGGAGGGACCCCTCCACGGAGGTAGCACACTCATCGGCCTTGGAGCCGAACACTCCTCCCACCTCCTATGAGGTCGGTACCACCGGACCCTCGGACTCGTCTCCGGCTACAGGATCCGAACCGCCTACGCCCGTGCCTATCGAATTTGATTGGGCACCGGTCATGGAGTTCACCTCCGCGGATATCTTTCAGCACTCACCCTTGGGCGACGTGCTAAACTCATTAAGGTCTCTCTCTCTGTCAGGAGACTCTTGGCCGAATTATGTCCGGCTCGAGTGGGAAGCGGACGACGAAGAAATTCGCCCCCCCCACCCACCACCCACTTAATAGCCACCGTCTATGACCTAACCGACGTGCTCAACTTCGACTCCGAAGACATCGACTGTATGGACGACAATGCAGGAGATGAACAGGAACCACCGCCTATCGGGCGCTGGACAACCACCTCATCATATGAAATATATATGGTGGACACCCCCAAAGAAGGCAATGGCGATGAGGCAACAGAGGATAAACCCCCGGAGAAGCAATCTAGGCACTGGCATCATAGACGCCGCTCCAAGCCCCGCCATAGCAAAAATAATGATACTGGCACAAGAGATGACAATAGTCCGGATGGTGCCGAAGACGAAAACAATCCTGCCAAGCCAGGCTTCAAGCAGGCCGAGCAGGAAGATGGGCAAACTAACCCTAAGGAACAGGCAACAGATGGGGAATCAGAGGATGATAATTACATGCCTCTCTCCAAAGACGAGGTGAGCCTTGGCGATGACGAATTCATCGTGCCTGAGGATCCCGTCGAGCAGGAGCGCTTCAAGTGCCGGCTTATGGCCACTGCAAAAAGCCTGAAAAAAAAGTAGCAACAGCTTTAAGCTGATCAAGATCTGCTAACTGATAGATGGACCGAGGTCCTGGCTGCCGAGGAATACGGACTCGAGCGCCCTACAAAAAGTTACCCAAAGCGCAGGTTGCTACCTCAACTCAAGGAGGAGGCGTTAAAGCCCACACTACCAGCGCATGATGCGGCTGACCGGCCATCCCGTGGCCGAGACAAAGCGGCATACAAGCCTGAAGTCCAGACCGCACCCCGTCACCAAACAAGCAAAAACACACAGGCCGGGGGCTACACGAAGGACCTGCGAGACGTATTGGAAAACAAAGCAGGACAGTCAAGATCGATCTACGGATCGCGGGGGCACGCCACAATGCGCAACGATGACCATCACGCCAGATACATTAAACAAAAGTCCTGCCGGGCCGAATACAACAGACTAGACTCATTCGAACTGCATCGTGATGTAGCCCGGCATAGTGGCGCCGCACAACCCCTATGGTTCACTAACGAAGTAATGGATCATGAATTCCCAGAAGGGTTTAAACTTGTAAATATTGAATCATATGATGGTACCACAGACCACGCGATATGGATTTAAGATTTTCTCCTACACATTCACATGGCCTACGGAGATGATCTACACGCCATCAAGTATCTCCCACTAAAGCTCAAGGGACCAGCTCGGCATTGGCTGAATAGCCTGCCGGTAAACTCCATCGGTAGCTGGGAGAACCTGGAGGATGCATTCCTCGACAACTTCCAAGGCACGTATGTGCGACCGCCGGATGCTGATGCCCTAAGTCACATAACACAATAGCCCGGAGAGTCAGCTAGGAAATTCTGGACTCGGTTCCTAACTAAAAAGAACCAAATTGTCGATTGTCTGGATGCCGAAGCCTTAGCAGCTTTCAAGCATAACATTCGTGATGAATGGCTTGTCCGACACCTCGGCCAAGAAAAGCCAAAGTCCATGGCAGCCCTTACGACACTCATGACCCGCTTTTGCACGGGCGTGGACAGCTGGCTGGCTCGCAGCAACATCACACCAAAAAACTCCGGCGATTCAGACGCCAGAGTTAGCAGCGGCAAGCCACGACGCAATAGACACAAGCGTCGAAACATTGGTGACAATGCCAAAGATACGACAGTCAACGCCGGATTCAGAGGCTCGAAACCCGGTCAGCGGAAAAAGCCATTCAAAAGAAACAATCCGGGCTCGTCCAGTTTGGACCGCATACTCGATCGCTCATGTCAAATTCACGGCACCCCTGATAAACCAGCCAACCATACCAATAGGGAATGCTGGGTAATTTAACAGGCCGGCAAGTTGAATGCCGAATACAAGGACAAGGGGCTGCATAGCAATGACGATGAGGAGCCCCGGCCGCCGAACACAGGAGGACAGAAGAAATTCCCTCCCCAGGTGAAAACGGTGAATATGATATACGCAACCCATATTCCCAAGAGGGAACGGAAGCGTGCACTACGGGACGTCTATGCGATGGAGCCAGTCGCCCCAAAGTTCAACCCATGGTCTTCCTGTCTGATCACCTTAAATCGCAGGGACCATCCTACCATTATCTGTCACGGCGGTTCGGCCGTATTGGTCCTCGACCCAATCATTGACGGATTCCACCTTACACGAGTCCTCATGGACAGTGGCAGCAGCCTGAACCTGCTTTATCAGGATACAGTGCGCAAAATGGGCACCGATCCCTCAAGGATCAAACCAACCAAAACCACCTTTAAAGGTGTAATACCAGGTGTAGAGGTCTGCTGTACGGGCTCAATCACATTGGAAGTAGTCTTCGGATCTCCAAACAACTTCCGAAGCGAGGAGTTAATCTTCGATATCGTCCCCTTCCGTAGTGGTTATCATGCCCTACTAGGACGAACCGCATTTGCTTGATTCAATGCAG